TTCTTTGGAATGGGAACAAATATAGATCTCTTCCAGTCAGCTGGCCAAGTGGTTGTTCTCCAGATTTCTTGGCACAACTTTGTAAGCATATCCAGGGCAGCATCTGTTAGCTGAAATACGTCAATTGGAGTACCATCTATTCCTGGGGCCTTATTTTTTGCTATTTCCTTCTAAGTAAGTGAAAAATATGCTACCAATATGGACTAAATAAGTGAAGCATTAGTTACATATGAATATATAATTAAACCTGTATAAATAAAAAAATGTTGTTACATTGTACCTGCATAGAAAATTTCTCACGAATAAATAAGAAACATTAAAGAGTTCTTTGGGAATAAGTAACCCACAGGAAAAAAAAATTTAACATGAGAAAAATTTGACAGTTTTTTAAAAAGGGGTAAATATAAATTAAAAAAGAATTTCACTGCTAGATATTTACCCAAGAGTGGAAGAATATGTTTACATATATGTTAGTGGCTGAGGACAAGAATGAGGAGTGCAGATGAGTAAGGAAGTGAGGAAAAGGTCCTAAAATTAGAGTGCAGGATGGGAGAGATCTTTAAATGTACTCAAAGTCATTGAATTATATCCTTTAAAGTAAATTTCTATGGGATAGCCCTATGTCCTAATGAAGTTGACTCAACAAAACAATCAAGGCTGTCTAAAAGGTAAACATAAATAGCAAGATTAAAAGAAAGGAAAATAACTTCACTTGACAGCAAATCGAGGAACCACACCTTCCTCTTGGTTTATGCGCACATGGCAGTCTGCAGCCTCCTACGCGCCTTACCTTTTCTAACCTCTCTGGACTTGGCATTGGTAAACTCTGCCTCTTGGCCTCCTGTTCTAGTGTTAGGAGCATGTTTCTTTCTTTCAGCAGAACATACCTGTATCAAAGAACAAAAACCTCGTGATGCTACTGTATGGCTAAGTAAGGTGACCTCTGATATTAAAAATAATCACCTATACTAAACATCTTTTCAAAATCTCAATATTCTAAGTATTATTACCAAGAACAAACCTTTAATTGAAAAAGCTCTCATATATTAAGTATTACAAGAGTTAAAAAAGTGAGGGAAATAGGCCCACATTCAAAAAGAAGAAAGAAAAAAAGGAAGAAAGAAGTCACACCTAATGAGGCCTAACTGGTAGCGATGCACTGCTAACCCCAAGGCAGTTTGAATCCACCAGCTGTTCTGTGAAGCTGAACAATCTCCGCCATGAGAGCTACTGCCTATACAATTCAGTTCCTGCTCCATGGCAATAAGTTGGGTTTTGCTTTTTTTTTTAGTAGGTTAGATAGTATGTCAACTATGCCATACATGTTATTTCATTTAAATATCCTAATAATTCTTTAAGGAACTCGTGACATACTGCATGACATGTTGGGCTTGTAACTAAGAGGTCAGCAGTTCCCATCTACCAGCCAATCTAAGAGAGAAATACGGTGTAAACCTGCTGCTCCCTTAAAACACAGCTTCAGAAAGAAACTTGATGGAGAATCACCATGAGTCAGAATCCATTTAATGGTAGTTATTTACTCTAGGTTGGTAATATGTCTACTTCTTAAATGAAGAAACGATGGATGAAAAAGCAACTTGGGAAATCAAATCCTAGGCTGCCTATGGGCAGATATAATTTCAGACATGTACCAGAAAAAGTAAATGGGAGAGGTAAGACTCTCTTCTAGCTAAGGTGTTCAGGGAAAATTTCATAGAGGAGCTAGGATAAGGTATTCAAAAAGTAAATTTAGTGAGGGATAGGATTTCCCTGTTTGAGAATCACAACTAGATATGGGGAAAGGAAGTAATAAATTCAGACAGCATTGAAAATGAGACAAAGGAATTGGGATACTTCTTGGCCTAGAAAAGGACAAGTTCAGGGGGAAGAAGTGGTAGAAGATAACTATTTGGTTTTAGCCACAATGAATGCTCAAACAATCCCTTTACTGACAAAACTTTCCCTTTACTGACAACCCACAGTTCAATATGTCTTTTCTATAATGAACAAACCAACAAACAATAATGCTTTTTATAAGCATTTCACAATTCTTTAATATGCCATAAAAAGTAAATGATTCTTTAAACCAGGACATTAAAAACAGAAACACTTCCCACAGTGCCTTGGCAGGTAATAATCATTAGTGAAGGGGATCTGATTAAAGAATATGACAGATACGAGATACAGTGTACAGCACTCCATGCAGATGAGGCAGGTGGAAGCAGTGCTGTTTATCACCAAGCTGGAACACAGCCGCAGTGTTGAAAAAATCTCTGGTTTCTTTATTCAAATGATACCAGAAATTCTTAATTCTGGGTGAAATTTCCAAGTTTTAAAAATTTAACAGACTCCAAATAACACCTATTTTGGGTTGAATAATTAAACTGAAACACAACTTTGTCTTTTCTCTCCATGATTATGGGATTTATTAGGGAAAGAAAAAGGTTAAAATCCAGGTTCTGAAACATTTAGATATAGTTACAATACTGTCTTAAATCTTCTCAACTCTAATTTATCATAAAAAATTATCAGATAAGTCCACCTAAATTTCCAATTAAAACATATCTTGAAACATGCATTCTTAACACAAATAAACTAAAGATTTCAGACCATACACAAAGTACTAAGAAAGGAGGGTTGAATGTAATCAATTACTGCCTCATCTTATTTCACTAGTTAATTTTTCTGGTGCCACCAGCATAAGCTGGATAGCAATTACAGAAAAATTTCTAAAACCCCAACTACTTGGCTTTCCTAAAATACCTATCTGTCTAATAGAATCTACAGATAAACTGCTAATTTTCTTCTATCAATGTGATTTCTAGCTTATTGTACAGTGCAGAAGCTTCAAACAACCTGGAGGCTAGTGTACGTACCAGAGTTTATGTAAATCTTCATTACTTTTGTTCCTTAACTGCTGACATGTCCAGGAAGCTCCTATAAAATGAAAAACTTATGATCATTTTTGTAGCGATATGTTCTCTCATAAATTACTTAAATTTTTCTAATATCAGTTCCTTTACCTTCAAACAGTATCTTAGAAGCTAACAACTTCATAAGGCTGCTGTGAGAATTAGATACAACTGAAAATATTAGTAAAGTAACTTGCACAAACACTCAAAAAATGTCAACATTAGTATGTGACACTGTATTTACACACCACAATGTCAAATACACTGTATCGCTTAGGAGTTATTTTCCCATTAGCAATCAATTTCTAAAATCTAAAGAGAATCCCTAAGCTTCACTTTAGTTAATGAATCATTATCATTCATTGCATTCAGTCAGTTCTGTCATTATGCTGTTGTTAGATACCACTGAGTACAACTCTTAGAGATTCTATGAACAAAAGATCTGAACTCTGTCCTATCTGTGCCATCCTACTCATCTCTGACACACTTGAGCACACTAGTACAGTGTTAATCAACCTCACTGAATTTCTTCCTCTTTTTTGTTGACCCTCCGCATTTAAAAGCATGATGTCCCTTCCCAAGGAACAGCTTCTCCTAGCAACATGCCCAAAGTACATGAAATGAAATTTTATCACCTGTGCCTCCAAGAAGCACTCTGGCTTCACCTTGTCCAATATATATCTATCTGTTCACTAGCAATCCATGGGATATTCGGTATTCTCTTCCAACACCACAACTCAAAGGCATCAATTCTTTTTCTGTCATCCTTATTCACTGTTGAGCTATAAGATGCACAGCAAGTGACTGAAAAGAACAGGCCCTAAGTCAGGCCCACTTTAGTCTTCAAAATGACATCACTACTCCTGCCCTCGGTAATTTGGAGATGTCTCTAACAACAAATTTGCCCAATGAATTACATTTCTTGACCTCCTGACTGCTGGGACAAAAGGTGTTGACTGTAGATCCAAGTAAGATGGACACTGGAGACAGTTTCAATCTTTTCTCCATCTATCATGATGTTGCTTATTGGTCAAGTGTTAAGGATTTTTGTTTTCTTGATGTTGAGATACAATCCAGATTGAAGACTGTATTCTTTGATCTTCTGCAGCAAACATGTCCTCTTCACTTTGAGCAAGGAAAGTTGTATCATCTGCATAACACAAGTTGTTGATGAGTCTTCTTGTGATCCTGATGCCAAATTCTTCTTCATAAAATCTAACTTCTCAAATAATTTGCTCAGAATACAGACTGAATATGTATGGAGAAAGTATACAACCCTGACACACACCTTTTCTGATTTTAAACCAAGCAATATTCCCTTACTGTTTTGACAACAGCTTCTTGGTCTAAGTATAGATTTTGCACAAGCACATACAAGTGTTTTATAATTTCCATTCTTCTCAGTGTGAGCCATAGTTTGTTAGGATACACACATAACAGTCAGATGTCTTTGCATAGTCAATAAAGCACAGGCATTCTTTTTGTATTCTCTGCTTCCATCCAGGATTCATCTAACATCAGCAATGCTATCTCTGGTGCCACGGTCTCTTCTAAACCCAGCTTGCACATCTAGCAGTTCTTCCTCAATACACTGTTTCAGCCATTCTATTGGGTTCTGAGACTCTAAATCCTAATATGAAGAGACTTCCCGCTCAAATTTTTTTCTCTTCAAACTTTTTGCCATACTGCCAAGGCACAATTCATTCTACTATTACATTGTTGTTGATTGCCATTGCCTTGAGCACAACTCATAGAGATCCTATGAACAAAAGACGTAAAGCCTTTCTATAACTATCATCATTTATCAAAGTTCATCGTTTCCAGAGGTATGTTGTGTAGAAAGTAGGTGCCACTATTGTTTCCAGGCCTGTCTTAAACACTGCTTCACCAAACACTGTCCACCATGGGCAACCTTTACGGTATTTGGCACCCTAATGGCACAAGGTGCAGCATCAGAGCAACCCCGGTTACCTCAGTACAGCGTACTGACAGAAGAGTGCTGAAGCACTTAGAAGAATACTATCATTTTATGCTTTAAATTTCCTCTTTTAGAAGAAATATTAGAAAAATACAGCTAAGTAATTTCCAAACTATAAGAAATCCCATAATAAGTGGGGCGGGAGTGGTTAATATATTTAATATTGACCAACCCAAATCTCACCAGATTTTACTTTTTCTTCTCCCCAATTCTTTGGGTCATCAAAAAATTCTTCTAGTCCTTTTCTTGACAACGTAGTATGAAGTAATCTACACTGGTTAAAAGATGTATTTGATGCATTTTTAGGAAAAATACCAACTGCAAACCTGCAAGTGAACAAACATAGGTGATTAATATTTTACAATATCTGGATTTTATAAGCCATAATCTGAATAATTTCCTCATGTAGAGTGCTAAAAAAATTACTTAGGTTTCTGCACAAGTAACAATAAACTTTTAAAAGGTTTCAGGAACTCTTTTTCAATATTGCATTTAAAAGCAAATTGACTATCATTTCAGAGGCAATAGATGTAGGTAAATATATTTTAAGATATTCTATTTAGGTCCTTCAGACTCTGCTAGTGAGTGTACGAACAGGTTATAATATTCAGAAAGTCAACTGCACAATGTAGTTGGTTTTATGTATTGTGGATTCAGAGCTGACTCACAGCTGACCCTCCAGTGGGTTTTTAGGGGTAGTAAACTGCAAGGGAGGAGAGACTGCTCATCCTTCTCCCACAGAGCAGCCGGGGGTTTCGGATCGCATGTCTTCGAGTTGGCAGCACAGCTCCTTAACACTAGGCTACCAGAGCTCCAATGTGCAATAAGTACCTAAAAATGTTATCTCTTTTACCTCAGTAATTTCACATGTAGACATTTCAACCAAAGCATTTATCAGAGATGAGAATTTATAAACTATCTATTCAATCATAACTTATATTAAAAAGTTGGTTCAAAGGTAAAAGTGCAAAACTTGGTTATGATTAATTTATGTGCATCTATAAGATATACCTGGAGGAATGTCTATCTGTGTTTCATTGATTATGCAAAGGCATTTGACTGTGTGGATCATAACAAACTGTGGCTGACTCTGAGAAGAATGGGAATCCCA